TGACCAAGTAAACACATCTGAGTACCGGCTTATCAATTTTAACAACTGTTCCCACTTCTCTGGGCTAAGGCTCGAACTTATGAATATCGGCCTTGGAGCATCTTGTCCATCACTCAGATCTATTTCAATAAGTTGTTCGGGCTGAGGCTTCGGCCCATCTTGCATGCATTCTGGAGCCACTTCAGGCTTTATTTGTCAGGAGGCTCTTCTTTTGACTTGGAGTCGGTGACTGAAGAAACCGACTCCCCGCACCTTCATAAATAGTACACCATCTTGCCCCCTTCTCGGACTTTCCTCACCTTCGAGGAATAGGCGGACTTTCTGGTCTAGAGATCGCCCATTTACTTGATTCTGCCCTTGGCTCCTTGTCATCTTTGATATCCTCCCAACGAGGAATTTTGACCCCTTGAGGCTTAGAGGTGGTGGGAACTTCTTCGATAGCCAGTTCGGTGAAGTAGATGGCATCAGAATAATGAGCTTCATGGATCTCGAACGGCCTTTCTGTAGCCTGAATTGTCACCGTCTTCTTTTCCCATTTAGCCTTAACACACTGATGATAACTTGATGGTACAGCCCCATATCTATGCATCCAGGTCCTCCCTAGAATGATGTGATAATTTGCCTCAGAATCGATAGTATGGAACTTGATGGCCGAGCGAATCTCTCCGACGGCTAAATCAACTGTTACGCATCCGATAGCAACTCTCCTTTCTCCACCGAAGCCAGTGATGACTATCGGCTGCTTCACAACGCGTTCTTCAGAGATTCCGGCCTTTTCTAGAGTAGCGCGAGTCATAATGTTGATAGAGGCTCCACTATCTAGAAAGGCCCTTTTGAACTCAACCCTGTTAATAAAAGCAGTCACATAAAGCGGGCGATTGTGAGAAAAAGGATACTTTCGATCAGCCTCGGAGAAAGTAATGGCACTAGATTGCTCTTTTGCCTTCCTCGAGATAGATCCCTCAGTCGACATGCATTCCTCATGGTGTGCCTCGGCTATATTAATGATAGACTTGGTGATTTCTGTTTTTGCCTCCCTGGAAAGTCCAAGCTGGTCAAAGAACTGCTTGAACTTTACACAGTCTTGCAAGGTTTTGGCATAGTGATCCGAATCTTTTTCCACTCTTGGAGGCTCGTAGTTAACCATCTCCTTGGTCTCTTCAAAATAAGATGCCACATAAACATGGTGTCCTCCTTTTCCGTAGTACTCTTCTCTTCCTTCTGGATCAAAGGGATCGTCGACATGAGTTGTGAAGGTTCTGCCCTCTGGATCGAGAGCACTTCCGTAGTAAATTTGCTCACCCTCTGGCTCAAGGATGTCATCTAGATAATAATCATCGTCATCGAGATTGGCAATAGCCTCAATCATCGGGCCTTTATAAGCTATCATAGCAACATTCTTGCCCTTGTCTCGGTGTTGAGGATATGGTTGTTCTCGGATGTCTTGAGGGTCACCTTCTCCGCCACTTGAAAGAACTTGGAGTGGAATTTGTTAACCATTTCCTCCCAACTTCGGACAGAGTTTGGGACCAAATTAACATACCAACTATATGCTCGGTCGGTGAGGGACTTAGAGAATTCTCTTAGCCGGAGGACGTGCTTTGAACCATGAATACCTAGAGTCTCAATGAATCGCACAACATGTTCTCGAGCATTTCCTTGTTTGCCATTGAACTTGATGAACTTCGGCACTGTATACCCCTCAGGGTATGGATAGCTCAACATTTCAATGGGGTAAGGCAGCTTGACATTCGGATTAGGCAAAGAGGGTAAAGTTCTCTTGCCCCGTTCGAGATCGAACATGGCTTACACATCGGCGAGAGTGAGAAATTGTTGAGGGAGAGAGTTTGATGGTGGTATTCTCGGAACTTGGCTTATGGACCCAAAGATTGAGCTAAGTGCGACTTGGCCATTCTGGTGCTGCGAATTCATCATTGGTGAGGACATTTGATGATACTGGCCATCAGCGCCTATAGACAAGCCAGTTGGTGATAGGACATTGAATTGAGGCCCGTAAAGTCCACCGCACTGTGCCGCTATACCGGGTTGTGCTTGCAAATTTGTTGTTGGCACCAAAGGAGGCCCGTTTGGTGCTTGGGTAACATTTACTGGTGGCATAACAAGATTAGGTACAGGCAGAGCTCCCTTTTGTGCCATCATGCTCCTCATGTTTTCCTAGACACCAACAGTCGCCGGAGCGCCATTCATTACACCAGAAACTCCCCTAGTCACCATTGGATCTTGGCTTGGCACGCCATGGAGCCCAGGCATGGGCAAACTGCTGCTGCCTACTGTGGTTTGAGCATGTGTTACTGTGGCCGTGTTGCCATGAGCCATAGGCTGATTGGGGCCTACTTCTCCTTGGATTTGATTTTGCGCTCCGGCGGGAATAACTCCACCACCAGTTTGATTTCCGTTTGGCGCCGGTGCAAAGTTAGAACTCATCACCAACATGGTGTGAGTGAGATTCTGAAGAGTGGTAAGAATCTCCTGCTGAGTATTTTGAAGTCCTTGAATGGCTTCAAACAAAAGTAGTTGATCTAGAGCCATGGTCCTGTCATCACCACCATTAGACATTTGCTCATTACATATGTAATGTTTAAGTTGGACTTATAAATTAAATTTCAAAATTTTAATATAAGGTTGTCTAATAATTAAGTTTATTTTGTATTTGGTTACTAAGAAGGCGATAAAAGAAATTTGAAAGTTTTTCAAAGCCTCCAAACAAAATGTAGGAGAGGGTTCAAGAAAGGAGTTGGAAAATTCGAAGATCTTCGAGGATCCTTGAAGAACAACTTCGAATTCTCTAGAATATGATGAGAGGCTTAGATTCTTCAATAATCTCAACTTAGGAACACAAAAGCAAAGGAGATGATGGAGATAAGAGATTGGGTGAAGAAGAAGGTAAAATGGCTAGAGAGAGAATAATGGCAAGGCTCTCCCATAGATCTCCCACTTTCACTCTCAAGGTTAATAATGGAGAAGGGAAATTAGTTCTTTCCCAAGAGTTAAAAAATCTCCAAAATCCATCCCTTGTAAAGCTATGGGTGGGTGCTATTTATAGGCACCTCATGATGTAGGATGGAGCCCATGTGCAAGGCACATGGGGAATATTCTCTCTAACCACCTTGTCCGAGGAGGTGACCTCTTCGAGGATGAGATAAACCCCGAAGAGGAGATCAACCCCTCGGCGAACCCTTCTTCTTAGCCACACCTAACCAATGATCCCCAATCATCCCAAAGGGCCAGGGGTAGTCCTAGAGGACGTCCTGCCGCAAAATATTGCCGAGTCTCATGGACCCCCCGGGGTCGTGCCACCTCGACCCGGGTATAGGCTAGTTTAACCGAAGAGTAAATTTATCTCCACTCACCATCCCCGGGATCGGGTCCTTTGTTCGAACTCCATTACGCCTATGGTTCTGATGCGTAGACCCCGGAAAGCTCCGAGCCCGCAAGTGTTTTGGGACTCATTAACGGAGCGACTTCTAGATTGCGTCTGAATCCGTTCGAAGCCAAGTGTTTCGGATCTCTAGGTTCGTGGGTCCGAACCCTTTCGAGTCCGAGTGCCTCGGATCTCTAGGCTTGCCTAATACCCTTTCGAGTCTAGGCCCGAGTATGTCTCTAGGTTCGTGGATCCGAACCCTTTCGAGTCCGAGTGCTTCGGCTCTCTAGGCTTGCCTAATACCCTTTCGAGTCTGGGCCCGAGTAAGTCTCTAGGTTCGTGGATCCGAACCCTTTCGAGGCTTAGAGCCATTCAACCCGTTTGATGGCGATAAATCTAGGCCCGCCAGTCTTGGACTTGCGATAAATTTGGGCCCATCAACCTTGGATTATTGGGCCTAATTGATTTAGTGGGCTTAAACTTAACTCCTCTTACACAAATATACATTATGATTGGGACCTGCATGTCACTCAATGGCTATTGTTCCTTTCACGGAATGGTAACAGGGAACTCAACTTGGATAATCGGAATGTTAAATCCTGTAAGTTGCCTTCTTATGTTTTCTCTTGTCTAGAATTGACACATTTGAAGCTCCGTAACTGCATATGTAAACTGCCAGAGGCGTTTGTTGGGTTTCGTAACCTAATTAGCCTTCCCTTCGAGAAAATGGCATTTGCTGCCAATATATTTGAAACTCTTGTCCCTAGTGTGCCATTGCTTGAGACTTTGAACTTTTCAGGTTGCACTAGCATTGAACATTTTAAAATCCATTCCCCAAAACCCAAAACCTTTGTTGCCACTGATAGTCGCGATGTTAAACCTAGCTCTTTCCAAAGTACCCCATACCTGACCATGATCTCTATTGCGTTGGGAAAGAAAGCTGAAAACCCCTGGCAAGGAGGTACAATCAATTTGAACAAGTTTCTTGATAATTTGCCTACAATTTTGAAGATTTGTTTTGATGGATTTTTCCTTAAAGTGAGTATATGTTATCCATTTTTTTATTTGGTACATCATATGGAAATTTGCAGGTCGTGCCTTATTTTCTTTCTGTTTGCTTCAAAGCTTTTGGTTGCAGGTCCTGTTCCATAGGTGCTTTCTATTCCTTTTAACCAACTGAAGCATCTTGTGTTTACTAAACTAAGATTTGATGATGTGGATCAGATGTCATGTGTTCTTTTTTGCTCAGAAGTTCTCCTAACTTGAAGAAACATCGCATAATGGTGAGATTGTTGACACAAACAAGATAAGAGTATTTTTTTTTAATTTAAAAATTAAAAGAATTTCTTTGCCATTATCATCTTTTACAGGCCTCTGCAGTCAGGGACAATGCTGTAGAATCGGTTCCAAGATACTTGGAAGCACTAGGCTACATGTATCAGCTGTTGAACCAACTTTGAACTGTAAAGATAACTTCCATCAAGGGTTTGAGGGCTGAATTGCTTTTAATCAAATGCATACTCGCATGTTCTCCTGTTCTTGAGACGATATGTGTTCAGTACCATCAAATATTTGATGCACATGAGGGGTTTAGAATCTCAATAAAGATGATGCGGTTTAGTCGGGCATCACCAAGGGCTATGTGAAACCCTAAGGTAATTTAGTCCTGTTTCTTGACTCTATTCACGCTGACCTTGTCCCTTACCCTTTTGCATCCTTTCACTAGTAAGGGGTCTTCTATTTTCTATGAATTGCATGTATATTTTATGGGAATATAATTTTACTTGAATATGTAATATATTGTTTTGTGTTGCTCTTCTCTTCCGTAATTTGTACATTAGAATATGTATATATCCAAAAATCTAGTTGGCTACTCTGGTATAGTTCTCATACTCTTGATTACAAGGCTTCAATTGTGCTATTGTCTTGCTTACCTTAACAGAGAAAATAGTGACGTATAAAGGTCTACTGCAAGTTTAGTTTTCAAATTCAATGAAATATATCTGAATTGATCTAGTTTTAGAACAAATTCAAAGAAAATTAATGGGTGTGCTTGTTATGAATATCAGGCAATAATGACAGACAGCCATAAAAGGATGGCAATAGATAATGGCACAGATGATATAGTCAATGGCCTGCCAAGAAACTTAATAGACAACATTCTAGAGCGCATGCCCATTCGAGATGCAGCAAGGACGAGTATCTTGTCAAGAAACTGGAGGTATATTTGGTCTTCACTCCCACATCTTGTGCTTAATAAGCGCTTTTTTGCAGATATCATCCGCAATAACCCGCTCTATGCATGTACGTTTGTGAGTGTAATTAGTAATATACTGTTACTTCACAACGGCCCCATTCTGAAATTCTCTCTCTACATTCCAAACATACATTATGATTGGGACCTGCATGTCACTCAGTGGCTTTAGTGGCTATTGTTCCTTTCACGGAATGGTAACTGTAACGACCCAATCTTGGCAAGGCAAAACCCTGCCAAGAGGGTGCACTTCAAACGCTACAGCACCTGAACACAACAATTCCTATATAATTCTTATATCACATCACCACATCACCAAAAGTGCAAAAGACCTTTCGACTGTCCAACATATATGAGATGATCCATTCAAAGACAAAAACAAAATATCATCACGCTACAAGATAGTTCCCAAGCATCACTTCCCCCAAAAATAAAACATACTATTCACGAATCTATCAATACATCCAACTTCATAAGCAAATATTTACAATCATCCTCCTTCATAAAAAAAATAAAATAAAAATGAAACTATATCCTAGAATGACCCTAAACAAAACCTCAACTACAAGATGCCCACGTTTGATCCTTCCAAAATTCTAATCTTCTAAGTTGAGGCGAACCACACAAAAGTCTATGAATCTGAAAAAAAAATATATTTAAAAAAAGGATGAGCTAAAGCCCAATGAGTATACCAATACCATGGAGTTATAAAACTTGCTCCTTCCAATTGGGTTCAAAATAAAGATAATAAATATAAGAGCTTAATTGGACTGAAATTTATACAAAATAAAATAAATAAATAAAAAATAAAAAAAAGTAAAATTTTCATAAACTGTTATCAAGATTTTTCCAAGGAATCTCATAAGACAGAAACAAAAATACATTTGAATAATGAAAGTAAACAAAATTACAACTTTTTAATACATTAAGATTTCATGTCCATCATACGAATCACTACATAGCCTGAGGGTCGCGTTACCTCGCGACTTAGGTGGTGACGGTACCGTTACCCAAAACATAACCATAGGAACATAACTCATGTCAATGTAGCACTTCGATTCTCATTTCAATGTTTTGGTCCCCAGGACCCCTTATATATACAACGACCCTTATGGTCCTTAAAACATTTCGGTCCGCAGCACCCCTAAGCATTTTGGCCCTTGTGGCCCTGAAAGCTATATTCGGTTATATGATCAATAAAATAAATACCCTCACATGACGTTTCATTGTCATTTAATCACCATCATCATAAACTTTGAAGGACTCAACTTAAATAAATTCTCATAAAAATTAGTGCTTCATTATACAAATGAAATCATATATTTATTTAAACTCAACATTTGACCTCAATAAATTTATAGATTTTCTTCTTATACATTGTGGGTGAGAGGTGTGGTTAGAGGTAGTCTGGGAAGATGGGGGGCACTTCAATGGCTTGGGATCATCGGAGGTGGAGAAGAGGAGGTCAAGGCAAGCTTGGAGAGGGAGAGGTTGGCAGTGATAGACCTTTGAACACTAATGTAAAGTATGAGAGAGTGTTTTAGCATGAGACTTGGTTGTATTATTGTTGTTGTGTCTCGCTGCATATACGATACGTTATATAGGCCGCAGGAGTATTGGAGCCCAAGCAAACTGTTGGACAGGTGGTTCGTTCTCCTCAACTCTGCCAGAAGTGATATAAGCCTTTCTACCGTCTGTGGCTTGCCGGCAGGCGGAGAGCAACGTTTCGTGGCAGGCAGAAAGTAACATTTCGTATATGCATCGGATGACATGAACGTAACTTAGCAAGAAGACAACTATCTCGACGATCCCATGACCTCAGTCGCCAGTCCAGTATCCTCTGATGATCCCGAGCAGTAGTGCCTGGGTCTTGCTCCCAACCCAGGCATCCAAGTAGATAAATGGGCCAAGGGCCACCTTAGTGTTTAAGAGAGCCATGGGTTCGCTTCCAAGTGACCAAGTAGGAGAATGGGCCGCGGGCTTATCTCAATGTTTAAGAGAGGGGCTCGCTTCTGAGCGATCAAGTAGAAGAATGGGCCGCAGGCCTATCTCAATGTTTAGGAGAGCCATTGTTTATCAATCCAAGTACAAGTGAGCCGGGGGCTGATTGTATTGTTGTTTGGCCTTGGAGCTAGGTATGAAGGACCATGGGCCCTGCGGGGCCATGGTGCTGCCTGTTGTAGAGCTCTTCCTATCTAGGTATATTTGGGCTTGTATATATGCTCCCGCTTAGGCTAAGCATATAGTTTTGGTTGCCTTGACACATGGCGCCTATAGGGCTCGCCATGTATCAAACATACGATATGCCAGACGTGGTGCCTTATTGGTCTGCCACGTAGGTGGGGTTTTGGTGATGTGGCACCTGTAGGGCTTGCCACGTATTGAGCTTGATACAAGTATCCACATACATATATCATGATGAAATGTGTTACTTCCTTTAAGTCAAAAATATTTTCAAACTTTGTATTAAAGATAGAGATAAGGTAAATTTCCATGGTAAGTATACTCACCTCCAAAATAGCAAAAGCGTGGATTTGAAACTCAACGAATTAATTCCCAAGAGGTGTAGAGACGCCTTCCTCCAATCCTAACAATTAGTAAATAGGATCTAAAATTGAGGAAAAGATTTCAATGAAAATTACAACATCTACAAAATTGATCCTAAATAAGACATGCTATGGAATGACAAGCTAAAGAACTCCTCCAACTCCAAGTCACCCAAACAAACTTCTTATCCAATCTCCACAACACCCATCCTTTGTACATTTTTTAGTTATTAACCTTTTTAAATATCCAACCAATTTATATGCACAATACCACCATCAATAAAAACCACAAAAGTCAAAAATTAACATTTTCATAAACTCAACAACTTAAGTAAAACCACTTCAATCATTAATAAAATTCCTCCAAAATCGTTTATAGAACATAGAGATACTCAATCTACCATTTATCAAATCAATTTCAACATATAGATTTCCTAACACCAAAATTCTCAATTTTTACATCACATTCAAACCTAGATTAACCCAAATCTCAATCTCTAAAACAACCATCAAATTGATCATTAAACCAATAATTTCATGAACTCGTGATTTTTATAACTTTTTCTTCAAAATCAAATGTATAATAAACGTGCATGGCTCAAATTCTTCCAAAACTCATGGTGCATGCAAATATACATTTCATATATATCAAGGTTTATATCAAAATTATTTATTTTTTTATTTTGCATGTACAACCCAACCTTAAATTATGACCATAGAGCTTCCAAAACATGTTTAAATTGAATAAAATAAAAACCCTCAAATTAGATTTACATGCATAGATTAAGAACCCAAAATCAAACTAATTCTTAATTTGATCTTCAATTTCAAATTTAAGAGTTAATCCGTATATAGAATATTATAACCTAGAAAAACATTTGTCTACAAAGAATTTGGGGACTAATTGACTTAAACACACTTTCCATAAAATTTTCTTGAAACCCATTTTATCCCAAAACCTCTTCAACATTCATCTTTAATCATCTCAATACTCATCTTAAATCAATTTATGTCTACATAATTTAAACAATAGTAGAAAGAGGATGAGATTTCTTACCTTAGGATGATTTTTCCACAATTTTTGCCTTGAATTTTGATGTCTCACGAAGCCCTCTTCTTCCTCTCTTTTCTCTCTCGGTTCTCTCTCTCTGTTTCTCTTTTAACTCTCTTTATTTACTTCACCAAATGTTTGTTTTGGGCCCAATGAAATTACACCTCTTCTTGAACTCACCAACACACACATACACAACTCACCCCTTGTCCTCGGCCTTACACGTGCACACACATATACACAAAAACACTAATTTGCTGAATACACCCATGCTCATTTACCCTTAATTCTAGACTCTTCCATAAATTAATTTATGTTTAGTATTAATTTAATTAAGTATCACTTAGTCTGAATAAATCTTGATTAACACATAATTAAATCAATCATGACTAAACACAAATCCCACTTAATTAGTCTAATTTGACTTCCTTTAGAGTCAAATTAATTATATTTAAATTTATCAATTCGAATCAAATTTTTAATCAAACTCTCGAAATGCTCCAAATAATAAATTAAACTTATTGTCCTCATCAATTTTGATTTCCCAAATCATTAAGGCCTTCAATTTCTAATCAGACTCCAAATTTCCGTCAATTAAATTACATATTTAAATCGGACACCCCATAAATAAATTTAATTCATAATAATCACAATTCTCAATCCTCATAATTTAATTAACTTAATTAAGTCCAATTCGGACCTAATTAATCGAATCTCAATTTTACTAAACTGAATCGAATATTTAATTAAACCCCCAAATGGGTCCGTAATTAAAATTTAATTGATTCAACTTCTTAACTTCACTTCCTTAAGCCATTTGGACCCTTAATTTCTAATTTCAAAATAAATATTTAATAGAATCATATGCGAATTAGATTCCACAATTCTCATAAATCCCAAATTAAATTAATATAACGACTAGTTAAAATTTCAAATCTCCTTAATTAATCAAATATAAAATATTATACGTGGCGGGGTCGTCACGGTAACAAGGAACTCAACTTGGATAATCAGCATGTTAAATCCTATAAGTTGTCTTCTTATGTTTTCTCTTGTCCTGTGAAACAGAGAGTGAGAGAGAGAGGGCAATTGTATATGAAACAATAGTTTGAGAGAGAGAGAGAGAGCAACTGAATAGCTCTGTATTAATCTGTAATGTTGTGTGTGTTTACAAAGAGAATGAGCTCTCTTTATAAAGAGAAGAGGGATACAATGGAGCATCAAAAGCATAAAGCTTACATTAAACAATATAAGCACTAATGCTAAAGCTGAAAGTGTGGTAGTGGGTGTTTGCCTTTACAGATAATTTACATCTACACTGTACTATCTAATATCTAATGTATATGATATATTAACAGCCCCCCGCAAACTCAAGGAGGGTAGGCATCGACCAAGTTGAGTTTGGAAACAAGATCACGGAAGCGCCAAGAGGATGAGCCTTGGTGAAAATATCAGCAGGTTGATCGGCAGAAGCAATAGGGAGAAGATGAACAGTACCACGTGTAACATGCTGTCGAATGAAATGACAATCAATCTCAATATGCTTGGTGCGATCATGAAAGACATCATTGTGAGCAATCTGAATGGCACTCTGATTGTCACAATAAAGAGAGGTAGCGCCAGAAGAGGAAACACCCATATCAGTGAGGAGCCAGCGAAGCCAGAGAAGTTCCTGAGTAGTATCAACAAAAGCTCGGTATTCAGCTTCGGTGCTAGAACGGGCAGTGAGGGATTGTTTCTTGCTACGCCAAGTAATAAGAGAATCCCCTAAGAAGAAACAGAATCCCGTGGTGGAGCGTCGATCCGTAAGATCCCCAGCCCAATCAGCATCAAAAAGGCACGCAGTTCAAGAGAGGAGGAAGCAGAGTAGTGAAGGCCATGGAACAGAGTGCCTTTGAGGTATCGAAGGATGTGGAGTAGAGCAGTATAGTGGGGAGTGCGAGAAGCCGACATGAACTAACTAACTATGTGAACAGCATAGGCAATGTCTGAATGAGTCACTGTGAGATAGACAAGACTACCGACGAGCTAGCGATAAAGAGTAGCATCATTGAGGAGATCCCCATCGAGAGGAGTGAGACGAATCTGAGGATCAACTGGAGTAGAGGTAGTTTTGCAATCGGTAAGACCAGCACGAACCAGAAGATCTGATGCATATTTGGCCTGAGATAAATAAGAACCAATAGAATCATGAGAGACTTCAAGGCCTGAAAAGTAGTTAAGAGTACCAAGGTCCTTCATCTCAAACTGACGGTAGAGAAAATGTTTGAGGTGGAGAATAACAGCTGCATTATTACCAGTGATAATCATATCATCTACATACAGAAGGAGAAGAGTGGTGCCATGAGGAGTAGTCCGTATAAAAAGAGCAGAGTCATAGGAGCTAGAGGTGAACCCAAAGTCATGAATGGTAGAACTGAACTTAGCAAACCAAGCGCGGGGCGCTTGCTTGAGGCCATAGAGGGCACGCTGTAGTTTGCAAACCTTATGAGGTGAAAAAGTGGACCCAGGTGGAGGTTGCATGTAGACCTCCTCAAGAAGATTACCATTGAGGAAAGCATTTTTGACATCCATCTGAAAGAGCTCCCAGTGGCGAGCAGCAGTAACAGTAAGTAAACTGCGAACAGAGGTAAGCCGAGCAACAGGGGAGAAGGTTTCCTCATAATCAATCACATATTCCTGGTTGAAACCCTTGGCAACAAGACGAGCTTTGTAGCGTTCAATAGAGCCATCAGAATGAGTCTTGATTTTGTAAACCCATTTGCAGCCAATAACAGTTTCGCCAGGAGGAAGATCAACAGGATCCCAAGTATGAGTTTTGTCCAAAGCTTGGAGTTCATCAGTCATAGCTTGTTGCCAAAGAGGATTAGTACAAGCCTCACGATAGGAGGTAGGTTCATAAGTAGAAAAGGCAGCAGACCCAACAATATAATCACGAAGATGGATAGGAGGTTGAGTTACCCGGTGTGGTTGACCCATAGGAGGATCGATGGGAGGAAGAACCGGTGTAGAATGAGGTGGTGCAATGAGAGGTGGACCTTTAGGGAGAGCAGTCTGGTCGGGAGCAGGAGTGAGCAAGGGCGTCTCAATGAAGGAGGAACCTGTATCAAAATCATCAGAGAAGAGATCTATGGAAGGATTAGTAAACAGGACATTAGTGGAAAGTACGGGTAAGTGAAAGGAGGATAGGGAGGAAAACATTTTGTGCTCCCAGAAAACGACATTGCGAGAGATATGAAGACGTTTAGAGAGAGGGTCCCAACAGCGAAAGCCTTTATGTTCAATTCCATACCCAAGAAAGCAACAAAGACGAGAACGAGGGTCAAGCTTGGTGTGTTCATGAGATTGAAGTAGAACAAAGCAGGCAGAGCCAAAAACCTGAAGATTAGTATATGGAGGTGGAGTGCCATGCAGACGTTCAAAGGGAGTTTGATTATGGATGACAGGGGTAGGAGTACAATTGATAGTGTAGACAGCAGTGAGGGCAGCTTCCCCCCAAAAGTTTTCAGGGCAGGAAGAAAAGAGAATGAGAGCGCGAGTAGTGTCAAGAATATACCTATGTTTCCGTTCAGCACGACCATTTTGCTGGGACATGCCAGCACAGGAACGATGAGGCAGTGTACCATGACACTGAAGAAAAGAAAGGAAATCTGAATCCCGATATTCCATAGCATTGTCAGAGCGAAAAAGTTTGATGGTTTTGGAAAATTGGGTGTGGATCATTTGGGCAAATTTATAATAAAGAGTTTTGAGTTCAGACCGAGTTTTCATGAGAAAAATCCAAGTAAACCGTGAAAAATCATCAATAAAAACAACAAAATAACGAGATCCCCCCATAGTAATAGTAGGGGAGGGGCCCCAAATATCCGAATGTATAAGATCAAAAGGTGCACAGGAAACAGAGGTACTTTTGTTGAATGATAAAGCAGGTTGTTTGGCAAGTTGACAGGGTATACAATCGAAAGTATCTGGAAGTACATGACCCAATTGTCCACTAGAAACCAAAGACTTTAAGCGATTAACAGAAATATGCCCTAAGCGACAATGCCAAAGATGAAAAGGAGATAATGAGGAAGCAGATGCAGGAGCAGCGATCTGAGGAGAGTCAGGAACATGAAGGTGAATGAGCTCATAGAGACGTCCGTGCTTACGGCCGATCCCAATAGTCTGCCCCGTCTGAGGGTCTTGCACCAAACAATGAGTAGCAGAAAATGTGACAGTTAGACCAAGTTCACATAATTGACCAATAGAAATAAGGTTTAAAGTGAGAGCAGGGATATGATAAACTTGAGGTAAAGATAAAGAAGAAGTGGAAACAGTACCAATATGACGGACAGTCATGAGAGAACCATCAGCAGTTTGAATTGAGGGAATATGAGGAGATGAAGAGATAGAAGAAAATATAGTAGAACTGGAGGTCATATGATTACAACAGGCAGAGTCAAAATACCAAGAAGAGTTACTTGGAATCACAGACAAAGCAATAGGAGGAGGTGTACCGGAAAGGGAGAGAAGGTGTTTGAACATGGCCTCTACATCCGTTGGAGAAAAGAGAGGGGTAGACGGAGCAAGAGACTCAGAAAAACCCTCAGAGGCAGCAGCAGCAGCAGTGTGATGAGACTGATTCCCGGAACGATGAAAGCTCCCCCGGGAAGAACCACCGCGAGAAGAGTGGCTGTTGGAGGATGAGCGGGAGGGATTGCGAAAACAATCCTGTTGCAGATGACTAGGACTAAGTTTGTTGCAGTATCGGCAGGTTCTGACGGGGCAATTGACCAGGAGATGTGTTGAAGGAAGGCCCAGATTCTGACAATAGAGGCAGACAGTGGTCCGCTGGGTAAATGATGGCCGGTACGAAGAAGTGGCAAGAACAGAGTCCACATGATGAGTTTGGAGAGTACCAAGACGAGTCTCCTCTGATAGCAGCTCAAAAATAGCTTGTTCTAGAGTGGGCCAAGGATGGCGATGAATAAGAGAGGCACATACGGGCTCAAAAGATGAAGTGAGAGCCATGAGAAAGTGCACCAACCTTTGCTGATTACGATGGGCAGTAAATAAGACAGCATCTTCGCGTTAAGGCCAAGTCGGTTCAGAAAGAGCAAGCTGGGCCTAAATGAAGTACATTTGAGAAAGGAAGTCATTGATGG